CCTTTCCCAGGCCCTGTTTATGTCAGGGAAGCTTAGTGCTTACTTTTACTGAGAATGATACCTCATAAATTCCTTTTGCTCCAGCTTCCTGGGCTACTTTGCCAACTTCTTTTAGATAACATACCAGGTCTCAGCTCCTCCATTGGCCAGTGATCTCCTAAGGAAATCTTCATTTCTAATGATTTGTCTCCTAAATGTTAACAGGTAGAGACTAACAGATTATTGCACACCTACCCATAACTTCTGTCTAAAAATACTGTGGATGCTTCTTTGGCTTTCATTACAAATATGCTATTTCATTTCAGATGCCAAATTAAACAACCCTTCAATCTTAAACAAAATTTTGAGCAATGATTAAAACAAAAATATTATGATTCAGGCTAGATAATTTGGTACTATTTTGAAATTGATCAGCACTTGGTAGGAAAAATAAATCTGCAGATTCCAATTGGCTGGATTAAATTTGTTTAATAATTCTTATAACATTGGCATGAGAAAATAGTTTAATTAGAAAATAAATTTAAAAAGAAACTGGTGGTGGAGCACAATTAAATATAAGTCATTTAAATTGGAAATAATTGCTATGGTTTGAATGTATCTCTCCAAAAGTCATGTTGGAATTTAATGTCCAATTCAATAGTAGGAAGAGGTGGCCTTTAGGAAGTGATAAGATCATGAAAGCTCCTCCCTTATGAATTGCTAGTCTTCTTTGCCATGTAAAAACATAGCACTTGCCCCTTCCATCATGTAAGGGCACAGCAATAAGGCACCATCTTGGATATAAAGAACAACTCTCACTAGATACCAAACCTGTTAGCACCTTGATCTTGAACTTCCCAGCCTCCAGAACTGTAAAAAGTATAGTTCTGTTCTCTATAAATTGTCCAGTTTTCAGGTAATTTGTTAATTAGCACAAATGGACTAAGACATTGCTTAAAGTGAAATGCTCTCATTTATTCTTGAGTACATATACGTTATACAGCGTTGAAACTTTTCTGTGATTCTTTTGAAGACTGAGAAGGTCAGGATTCAGTTGATGCTAGTTAAAGATTGCTTAGCTAATTATTGGTTTTACCTTAAACATCATGTCCTACATACAAAATTGATACAAAAACAGCATAGCCATCAAAAGTAGAAAATGTTTTTCCAAAGCGAACCTTGTTCACAACTTCTTGAATTTGTTAAAACCATATAAATTAAGAGTAACGATTTTTGAATAACATCATTGAAAGGCAGAATCAAGAGAAATGCTCAATGAGAGGAAAATAATCATGCATAAACCATAACAAAACAAATACTGTTCCCTGTTTTCTTTTTCTTGTCCTTTTTTGGAGAAGAGCTTAAGCCAGGAGTCTGAAGAGCCACCTGTTTTTGAAACCATCATCATGACACATTATTTATTCTAATTATTATCTTGATGATTTAATTTTTTCTTTTGTAATTAGAAATCATAAAGCCTTCCTGTAAGTTTGCTCTAAGTAGCAAGCAAATCATGAATACAGATGTGCTTTGCAAACTTTAAGTCAGAGCTGCATATAGAACATTTGTACACAGAAAGAGGACACAAACATTCAAGCAATGATTCAGATTTCATCCCTGTAAGCCTGGCAGTCACACAGAATTCTCAAGTCTCAGGTTTCTCACCTCTCAAGAGATTGTTCTGAGTGACTTCTAAATCTGGACTCTTCCCTAATTGCTAGACTTCTCCATAGCTACATAGGAATTTTTTCCCCTCAATATTTGTCAATCTAACCTCTAGGATTCATAAGGACCATTGGCATATGAATCTGATTTTAAGTCTTGTGATTTTATTTCCACTGAGACAAAGATTGTTTCCTGTGATAAGAAAACTTCGTGGAGTAAAAACAATAGAGTAGCAGTCATCATTGGCACTTGCCTGAAGGACCACCCATTTTCTTTTTGATTTTTTTGACAATGTAATGTTCGCTTTTTAGAAGGAGTATATTTTTTGAAGCAAAATGGTGCTATGCTAGAAATTTGAATCTGGTGAAAAATAATTTACCTTATTTCATCATGTAAATGAATATTCATTTCAAAGAAAATGTTTACCGAACTTAATTAGCAGCTAAGAGGGCACAGGGTAATGTCAGTGTAGGAGGAATTGTATGGGGCTGGCAGCAGGAAGTCAGGCAGATTGGCTTAAATTCTACTATCTAGCAATATTCTAGGAGAAGCTAGATTGAACAGTGTATACGTTTGAGTTTAGATTTTATAAGACTTTTAGATTTACAAGTTCATTATAGAAAAGAAAGAACATACAAATATTCTCAGTATATATAAATGCCACAGTGGCTGTTTCCAAACTTGTTTCATAGCTTCCAGTGGCTGGAGGAAATTTCAACAGCAAGTGATTGTTTATCAGCAAATGTGCTTAAAAATAATTTTAAGAATCATTTTTGGGAAGGTAGGTACCCTTTTTTAGATACAGATATTTTCTCAGGATGATTTGCAGCCTAGTTAAATCACCTAAGTAAAAGTATATCCTCTTTTAGGGCAATATTAGCAAAATGAAATATCATGTTCACTGTTTTCATATAAAAACAAATAAAGTTATGGATAAATTTTGAAATAGTGAATTACACAAAGCATTATTATATTCTTATATTTGGCTTTGGGACCTAAAGTAATACAAAATGTTAGATGAGTGGCTGGAATATGAACGTACCATACACATACACAGAAATTCACACAAACACACACACCACATAAACACAAGCTTTACTCAACACACATAAAACACACACACACACACACACACACACACACACACTCAAGCACCCTTTTCTGCATTATTCTAATTCCTTTCTGAGATCAGCTAGTAACATCAGTAATCGCCTGTGACATAAGATTTTCCTCTCAAAAGTCTATTAGGAAAACATCTATAAATATGTTCCTGATCAAATATTTTTGTGAAAGTTTATAATTTCTTTAAATCCAGCAATGATGGCATAATGAAGGATATGTTTTGGGGAAGAAAATGCCCACCCAAAGTAGAAAAATCACCAGTTAAAAATCACAATACATCAAAAAATATTTTTCAAGGATGATTTTCATTTCCTGACAGACTTTTCCATAAAAAACTATAAAATATTTTAAAAGAAAACAAAAGAGTACTCAATGTTTTAGTTTCTTCAGTTTTACAATTTCTGGCATTGGACTAGATGCTAGTTATTTTTTTAGCCCTAATATTCTGTGATTTTAGTCAACCTAAAAAGACATTAAAATGGTCCCACTGGTTCATTCAAATGATAATAGAAAAAGAGGCTTAAAATTGTGAAGACTGGCAATATAACTTTTAACTTACAGATAGCAAAGTTAAGTTCCAGGGAAGAAAAGTGACTACCCAAGGTGACTACCCAATGATGACATCCATTCAGTTATCATCAAAAGTTACTGCTTCCAAATCTGCCTGGTTATCAAATATTTTGCATTGCTTTGTTTTATTAAAGACTCCCACTCTCCACTCCTAGAAATTTCACTTTAATAATGGGGGTGGGGGCAGAGATCAGGGATTTCATTTTTAAAAGAGATCTTCACTATTCTGATTTGCAGGTAAAGGTAGGACCACAGATCATGCCAGACTGTCTGGGGTATAGGGATGGAGAGGAACAGATATGTACACAGTACTTGGGCACCACTGTCAACAGCATTTCATGGCCCAAGGTAGCAATTTCCCAGTGTTTTCCTCCCCTCTTGTGGAAAAGCATATAATTAAAGTGATATCACTTGGTATATAGGTTCATTTTCTTTTATATATTTCCTGTGGGGAAAGATATTTTCTGAAGGAAACAAGAATTAGGAGAATGAATCTGTAGCCCTTACTTACCATAGGATCCAGCTCACATTCTAGAAGTTTAATTCAGCTATTCTTATAACACATGAATCTAGCCATCACCATGGTACAGTCTTGAGCCTTTTAAGGCAATTGTGACTTACAAATTATTTACTTTACCTCAGGGCATGGTATAATAAAGTAAATTCCTCTAAATGGTTAGAATACCATAAGAATAAGACTCTGAATACATTGGAAATAAGACTATCTTAACATTTTTTGGCAACAAAAAGCTTAAATAAAATTAATATCTAACTAATAACAAAAACCGCTTCTAAAATCTTCCATGTAGAATTCCAAGCACTTCAATATACCTATTTCTGTGAGTTCTCAACACAGATTTTATGTGTTCACTGTATGGAAATTGTAGCCAAAATACACATTTCTGTTCCTTTTACTCCTATGGAGGCCAAAGTTTGGTTTAAGGCTTTTCTTTTTATTTTTTTGGTAGTACATTCTAAGAAATATATTACAATTCAGCTCTCAATGAAATTATTCCTGATCTTACTTTTTTTTTTTTTTTTTTTTAAAAATGAATTAGTCTTTTATCTATTAGTTTTAGGGAAAAGATTAGGGAAAAAAAAAAAAAAAACTTACCTCTAAATGTGTATGAACCCAAATAAGGTAGCTGAACTAAAAGCTTACTTCAATTTCAAGAAAAGGTAAAATTCAACATGATTTAATTTCTTTTTGCATCCCATTTAAGGAATATTACTGAGGTTGACAAAATAAGTTCATTATTTAGTCCTGTCATTCATGAGGCAGTCTTATTACACTGGCTCTGAGAATCAAGTATACAGTTAAAGCCATACAAGACTACCAAGCAACGTATAAAAGCATTTATGAGCATTTTATGTTTGCTTTAGAAGGCTTATCTGTTAAATGTGTGACATTTTTATTTAAAATAATAATCAAGAAAGTTAATACTATTAATTTATCCTAATATGGGTTAAGAAGCCATTTATGAGCTGTATTTAGAAAACTACCAATGCTAGATATGTGTATAATTCTTATTTTTCAATGTAGTTGTGGGCCAAAGGAGTGGTTGATTAATGTATGAACCTCAAATCCTTAGGCGATACCTATTAAAAGGTATACAAAATAGTACTGTATATTTTCAAAACTTTTAAATAAACACGAAGAATACATAGGTATACATGTTATAATTTCAAAGTCAACACGAGCACATACGTTTTTCTTACCTAAATACATACTAGAATGCTTCCTATTACGACACATGCACCTACAAACACAGGGCCATGCACATAACCTTGCTTTCTGCACTTGCAAGAAAGTTAGAATATACAATATTGTACATTGTTTCAACTTAACCATATTGGAAAATTAATGAAGATGGCATTAAAAAATTCTGACCTAAGAAATCAAAATATGAGGAGATAATTATTCCATAGATTAAAAACACTGAAGACTGATGGAAAGTTAAGATTGAAATTGTTTGTCCCAGTGATCTTGAATGATACAGAAGAGAACAGGATTGGCTGTAAACACTCAGAATGTTCAGTTTGGCAATTGGGACTAGAAGTTTTGTAATCTAGCAATCCAGACTAGAGACTTAGACCATCGGTGCCTCAGATCTCAGAGAAATGGTATAGCTCTGCGCAGTTCTTCGCAAGGCAGGTGGTGCTGATGGAGATCTGGATGCCCATCGGGATGGGAGACGGCGATTTGCTGGTCTGGCAGGTCGGGAAAATCCTTTTCCATTTGAGACTTTCACTGCCATGGATTCCTGTGACACAAATGAAGGCATTTATCTCATTACACAACCAATAACATTATGGATTTCTACTATGGGATTAATGTAATAGCAAACTTACAACCAAAGAAAAGTACTGAAAACTGAAGAAGGCATTTGTCTAATATTTGTGGCATGGAGTATTTTAATCAAAATTCCAATTTTAATATGAACTATGGTACTTGATAATCTTGTAGGTCTCCTCACACTGATGAATCATGAGGCAGTTGATGTCTTTTTAGAACTAGTTCCACACACTGACTTTTAGTTCCACAGATAAAAGAACTTTTCAAGGCACTGTTTTAAGTGATGTCTTGTGCAGACTCACATTCATATGATAAATCCTATAAGAACACAAATCAAATGCTGAGAATGACTGAATCAATCATAGTTAATAACTGAAAAGTTAAAATTATTCAAAGATATTTTCCACATACTTAAAGTAAACCTCAAAATTCTATAAATCAAAAATGTACATTCTGCAAAAATTTTCAAGAGACGAACAACAAATATTTGATATTCCTGATGTTCTTAAATCCACTCATTATATTGGTATTTTTTTAAAAAAAAGATATAATGTGCTATTCCCTGGTTTAAAAACCACATCTTAAATTTATGCTGAGTTACATTTATTCACAAAGAGTCAAGAAGTCAAGAAGATGCCAAACATGTGTCTACATTTAATTTATATGAATGGGCAAATGAACTGAACTTATAGTCTGCTATAAGACTATAACTGCTAAATGTGGATGCTGTTTTACCAAAATGTGTAATTTGCTTTCTTACCTCTGTTATCTTTTTCCAATCTATTCCTTGCTTCACTTGCTGTCCCCCACACAAAGATGTCTTTCTCTGCAATTCTTGTTCCATTTGAAGCATTTCTAAATGCTGACTTGATGTAGCACCACCACTGACATCAGAATTACATTTGGTCCCATTATCCCGGAAACACTTAGAATTTTGCAGTGAAGATCCTGTTGATGTCTCATAGGTTTTCAGCAGCTTTTCCACAACACCATAATTTGATCTGGGGTCAGCTGACCTCGGTCGGCCAGACAAATTGCTTGGTCTCCAGTCATGCTCGTGGAGCATGTTCCGATAACTGCTAGGATTTATGTGTTCCTGCATTTGTCTGACCAGACCTGCTGTGGATTTCTTGGTAGGATTATCAGACATCTTTCCCATAGGCACAGGCATATGGGCACTGGCTTTCAGAATACCAGTCACACTCTCACTACCTGATATATCTGATATGCTACCAACAGGAGTTGTTAAGTTATCACAGGGCTTAAGATCCCCAGATAATTTTGAGTAGCTTTGATTTTGCTGTATTGCACGACAATGTCTATCTGTTCTAAATACAGTTCTGTTAAATTCATCAGTCTTTGCTGCTAACTTTTCATTCCTTGCAGTCCTTTCAAAGCCACAACTGAAACTTCTAGGTGGACCACTGCTCTGTGTCATCGAGGAACTACGGCCATTACCTACGTAAAGATCAGAATGAGATTTAGCAGGGTGATCTGGGATCTCCTTTTCAAATTTTGGCATATTGAGGGTAGAGCAGGTTTTCTGAAACCACAAAGAAGAGGGGCTCTTTTTCACACCTATCTCAATGTCACCTGACCACATGCCAAACCCATCTTCATTATCTGAAGGCTTGCTATCTATTTTGACTCCTGGTGTCAAAGAAGAAAACATCATACCATCTTTCATAGTCTTTCCTTCATCTGGATATGATATAGGCATCTCTTGCAGCCTCAAAATGGAATGAAGATTGCAGCTCTTTTCACCTTGACCCTCCTGGGCCACCCAGCTGTTGTAGTCTGAACTTTCCTTCAATCTTTCTTGGGCTTGTTCAGAATATGAGCTGGGAAAATTTCGAGAGGTGCTTCTTGGAGGAGGAATTGGTGGGGTTTGATTCCTTTCCAAATCAATTGTATCAATTCCACATTTTTTCACAGAATTGCCTGGAAGCATATTGGTACAGCTCAGATTCTTTCTATTTTTCTGTTTTTCTTTTTCTAAACTGATTGGAAGAATGCATGGGCCATTTTTGATCAAGTGATCCCCATGAGGTGCACTGACTACATTTGGCATTTCTTGGAGGAAAGAGTCTGACTTCATCCTGAATAATTACGAAACAAGGTATATTAGTGATAATATTATTTAAGACTAGCTCTTAAAAGAAAATATGGTTTATGCAATGGATTTCTGCATCAGGAAATGGAATCAAAATTTCCTCAAGCATAATATTTATATAAATCCCCTAATTAAAACTTCAAGTCCACTTTATTGAAGAATAAAGTCCACTTCTCAATGTTACATTCAAGGCTCTTAATCATATTCATACATTTTAATCATTTATATCTATGCCACTTACAACTCTATATACTATGTCTCAGGCTATCTTTTCAACCTTGTCTCTTCCATTATCTATATTACCTGCAACTTCATACTAGACTCAAACTAAACTCTCGAGTTTTTGCTACTGATAGTTCCATTTCTATAGCTTTTCTCATGCTATTTCCTTACTTTCTCTTTGCCTATGGAATTCTTATTTATTATGTAATGTGACCTCAAGCTTCTACCCTTGATTTTGAAATAATATTTTAAGTAGTAAGAATAAAAGTCTGAATAAAAGCACAAGGATACATGAATCATTCCAAATGGAAGGTCTCACTTGGGCTTGAAAGAAAAGCACGATTTTTAAAAAGTTTTAAAAAGCCCAGTAAAGGGCATATAAACAAAGGGAAATATAATAAAAAGAGTGTGACTATTCAAGGGATAATTGGCATAGTAGTGTGCAAGGATTTAAAGCAAAGTGGGGAGGACAATGAAAAACTAGAGAGAAAAACATTAGGTCAGGACAAGTTGTAATGTCTTTGAATTTCATATTAAAGATAACTGAACTTTTTTCCAAGGCCATGGGGTGATAATAAGAGCTTTATTTGAGGTGTGGCTTATAAAAAAAGAAAACTGGCACAAAAATCTTTTCGGAGTTATTTAAGTAAAAAGTTAACTACTCTAGCAACAATGTGGATTCACAAATAGAAATCACTTCATGCATTTTCAATATTTATATCTATGCAACTTATAAAAGATTACAAAATAGCATACTATAAATTACAGACAAACACCCACTAAAAACGGTAGGAAAAACTAAACAGGCCAATAGAGCATATTATGTATGAAATACACTTGGCTAAGAAAATCTATTTCAAATCAGCACAAAAATTCTCTCTGAACTTCCCAAGTGCTAAAGAAAAATAAGGGAGCATACTGTTGCAGCTTTCTAAGAAGCATATTGTTCTTCAAATAATTCATCTTTGTTTACCATGCAAAGAATTCCAAATTAATTTTAGAATTTGGCTAAAACATACTCTTGAAATTATACACCATTTCTGAAGTGAAATAGCATTTTTGTGGCATGTGTATAGAAATATTTACAATGTGTTATTCTAAAAACTATGTGTTCCTCTATTATGTAAATATTACTTAGAGAAATAAGTGACTCTAGGGCATAAAATATCTCAGTTGAACATCATATAGAATAACCACACCACATTGTTATTAACTCTGACACGATTTCAAGATGTATAAAACTGGATTATCCTAGTTGTATACTCTTGCATGGGCCAAATACTCAAAATGGAGAAAAAACTATATTAGATATAGTATATATACATAATGGAATATTATTCAGCTATAAAGAATGAAATTCTGTCATTTGCAGCAAAATGTTGCATGGATATCATGTTAAACAAAATAAGCCAGACACAGAAAGACAAGTATCACATCTTCTCTCTCATATGTAGAAACAAACAAACAAAAGGATGACCTGAAATACAAAAGTTCTAGGGACTAGGAAGGGTATGCAAAGAGGGGTAGGTTGAGGGAGGGGAGAAGGGTGAGAATAGAAATCAGTTTGATGGACATGACCAAGGCACAATGTATGCATGTGTGGAAATATGACAGCGAATGCCATCAGTCTGTATAATTAATAGGTGTTGATTATTATTATTATTATTTTTACTTGAGAGAGAGAGAGAGAGAGAGAGAGAGAGAGAGAGAGAGAGAGAGAGAGAATATATTTATTTTTCAGTTTTCGGCAGACACAACATCTTTCTTTGTATGTGGTGCTGAGAATCGAACCAGGGCCGCACGCATGCGAGGCAAGCACGCTACCACTTGAGCCACATCCCCAGCCCCAGGTGTTGATTATTATAATAAGAATTTTCTTCAAGCTGTGATATCTGTGCAAGCACCGCTGTGTAAATAAAGCATTCTTTTCCTTTTAAAAAATGAAATTAAAGGATACTTGTTAATTTATTGTGGAAGGTATACCCTAACTAAGACACCAAGAAAGTAAAGTATTCCTAATAATCAAATTACAAAGAGCATTGGAAGATTCCTTTTTAGAATTAGTGAACAGGAAAATATAAAACTGAAGTATCTATTTTCCATTCAACAATAAAATTTTAATAGCTCATAACTTCTCACTAATAGAATGTAAGGAGGAGGCAGTTTGAGTTCATTAACTAAAAACAATACTGTTTGTGATCATGCAGCATAAATAGGTGTACAAGCCTACCTTCTGTGGCTAGACCGCTTTCGAATTTCCTCTTGAAAGCTGCATAATTCTTCACTAACTTTGGCAAGTTCTTCAAGAGCCTTTGCACATAAAAGCAACAGCAGGTTAGCACTTTGAAATGTAAATATTTCTTTAGAAACAGCTCACAGTGAATCACATCTTACTTACAGTGCTGAGGGCTCCAGAACCGCTCTTACTCTCTTCTTCAGAAGTCCTCGGGCCTGGCCAGGCCTGGAATTCCTTTTGGTTGTCTGTGGTGGCAGGATCCATAAACCCTACTTTTGCTTTTTTTGTTGCTTTTTGTTCCTTACACAACTGATTTCCTCCACAGGGTAAGCACTGCCCTGATTTATTTTCTTTCTCCAGACCATCCCTATGATTCATCCCTGTAAATTCACATTGTCCTGAATTGGGGTTGTTTGAAGAAGATTCCAACATTTCTTGAATGTCTTTCTCATGATCGAGACCAATGACCTTAGAGCGTTCGTTCATGTTGATTTTCCTCCGAAGCTTTACTTCTTGGCAAAGCTGTAAGAAATCAAAATGGAAACTTTTTTCCTCTTAACTCATTTGTCAATATTCTTGATAACAAGAAAACATTTTGAACTTTCTTTGCCATATTACTTACTATATACTACCCTGGATGTTCATGCCTACTCCTCCAAATGGTGCCTCTAAAATGTGGATTAGCTGGAACAACTTTGATGAACCATAAAAACTACTCTAAGTAAGGCAATGCATGGATGCTATTTTTTCTTTCTAATCAGAAATTGTCATTGAGAAGTAAATCTGACTCTATACATAGATGCAGAAGCATTGTCACAAAAGGAATTACCTGAATCAACTACTGACCATGCTTTCTAATTGTTTTCAGAGAAGCAAGAGTTTAACTATCATTAAAGTCATTTATTTTAAACATATGACCATATTTACACACTGACATTTAACTGTCTAAATAGCTGACAATTATATAGTAAATCAACTCACTCTGTTCCCTAAGTAGGCACTTGTCAATCAAAAAATACTTCTTTTTATTAACTACATTGGTAACGGCTAGATATTACTGATGTTTTTAATGCCAAGACTATACACATTTTAAAAGAAATTTCTCATTAAGATTTTAAAAAGTGTGATAATGACCCATGTGAAACAATAAAGCTCAAAGGCTTTGATCATCTATTTGTGTTAATGCAAGTCCCAAATTACTTCTTGAGATCTTTGTTAAGTCTGCAGACGCTCAGCTCACTCCTAAAAGGGGAAGGAAGTAGGCTTTTCTTTAGGCTTGACTCTTGGGAAATCTATTCAAATATCCAAAGAGACTGTCAGAAAAATATTAAAGCAAATGACTCCATTTTGCAGCCATCATCAATATCTGCATTACATGTATTATTCAAGGGCTTCAACAATAGTTACATTGCTGCTCAATATTTGCCCAACACTCAGTTGAGAAAAGCACTACACAGAGTTGATCCCTGAAAGATATATGGTACATTTATTTCCCTAATGATTATAAATTTAAAAGCACTCATTGTATAAAGCAGCGTATCACCAAATAGAGCTGTGACTCAATTGTTTTGGTATCTATAAAAATAACCTGAGCTGCTGATGGCATTATGATCTGCGTTCACCATGAGGGTTGTTATGGTTTACATATGATGTGTCCCCCAAAAGCTCCTGAGTTAATGCAGGAATGTTTAGAGGTAAAGTGATTGTGAGAGTTATAACCTCATCGGTCCATCCTAGTTTGAATAGACTGACTGGTAACTGTAGGAAGGTAGGGTGTGGCTAGGTTAGGTGTGTCACTGGGGACCTGTCCTGAAAGGATCATTTTCCCTATGACCCTGGTGCCCTGGTTTCTGACCCCACTATAAGCTGAGCAGCTTTCCTCTGCTGGGTCCTTCCATCATGATGTGCCACCTCACCCTGGGCCCAGAGCAATGGAGTCGGCCACATATGGACTGAGACCTCTGAACCTATGATCCCTAAATAAATGTCCCTTCTCTAAGTTGTTCTGGTCATGTGTTTTAGTCACAATGAGAAAAGTTCACTAAAAAAATGGATACAAAGAAACCATGTTAAATCTAAGGAGGCTGTTGGTGATGTTACCCTCCTTTTGAGAAGTCATGAGTGAAAACAATATTCCTATAGTTTCATAACAAGGGGGAGAAGTTCTATTCCTAGGAAATAGGTTAGTTTTTGGTCTCTTGGATGTTGAGGAATATGCAACAGATAGTATTGCGTTATTTGCTAGAAAGACAGATTTATTTCTGCATTTCACTTCCTTCTGTCTTCATCTTATTTATTTTTGTTTTTGTATACTTGACCATATGTGTAATTTTGAGACATTATAAATTCTTTTGGGTCCTTAGCTAGTAAAGAATAACAAATAATATGCTGTAATTAATGGAAAACCATTTGCTTTGTATAAGTGACTTTATCTGATCTAGCACTCAGCACTTGTCAATAGCTTTCTGATCATTCCACCAAAGGAAACAAGCCATAAAGATTGCAATGTGAAAAAACAAAAAGTTAAAAAAAATAATATCTAAACAATACAGAATTTCTATCTGTATTACCCCAAACTTCAAATGATTCAGGCATGATGGTTTTGGCTTTCCAACAGCAAATGCAATGATTATGGATAGTATCAATAGTAGCGGAACAGAGATTCATCAGCATCTATTTTTTTTTTTTCAGAGAACTTGAACAGCTTTCTTTATTTGCCAAAATGGGCCACGATTCTGAGCAGCAACCTTTGTCCGATATTTCCAAGATCAACAAAAATGAACATTATAGAATTTTCTGGTCATTAAGAAGAAATATCCCCAAAGGAAAGTAGGATCTGTTAAGCTTCTACGAACTGATGGAGATTAGCTGAAGAGTTGTGCACATATAGAACCTGTATGAATTCACTCCACAATACTGATGTGCAACAAACATCTTATTTATTAAATTGAGTTGTATCTGGGTTGGCTCATAATAGCCAGGATTGCTGAGAAACTCAATTTCAATTCTTGCTGGGGAGAAATAAGCCCCTTCTCTGCCCTTGGGGAAGCATCTTAATGCCCAATGCTGGATGCTTTCATTAGGTGATAAATCACTTGAAATCTCTGAAGTTATAAGTATATGCCTTCGAGTTTACAATTCTCTAGCATGATTCAAAAATTTTCATCTGATTTATAAAAAAAAATTTGTAGTTGTAGATGGACAGAACTTTATTCGTTCATTTATAGTGGTGCTAAGAATCAAACCCAGTATCTCACACATGCTAGGTAGTCCTGCATCTGATTTTCTATACAGATTTGGTGATATATATTAAACAAATACTGTTGATTATGCTTGTGACATGCTGCAATATTTCCAAGTCCTGATTTCTAAATTTTAGTTTGAAAAAATTGCCTTGATTCTTTGTGATAGGTAAAAACACTAAAATACTTTCCTCCTATTTTTCTTTTTGTACCAGAGATTGAGCCCAGGGTGCTTAGCCACCGAACCACATTTCCAGCCCCCACCCCCCTTTTTAAATTTTCATTTTGATATGGGATCTTGATAACTTGCTCAGGACCTCGCTAATTTACTGAGGCTAACTTTGAACTTGGAATCCTCCTGCCTCCACCTCTAGCCACTGGGATTACAGGCACATGCCATCACATTGAGCTCCTCCTGTTTTCCTTAATCTTTTTACCCCAGTTTTGTAGCCTGTAAGAAGGTGTGTGTGTGTGTGTGTGTGTAAAATAAGGGAAGCACAGTGTTAGTTTCAGGTATTGAAAAGTATCCATGGGCATTCTTGGTGAGCACGTTATCTAAATATATTCCCAACTATGTAGCTATATATCACAGATAGCCAGACATATATAGCATGTAGCTACTCTAAGGGAAAAATGTTAGAGCCCTTCTCTCTTCCTGTTGCAAAAAAGGAGAGTATCTCTGATAGCTATAAGTCTGTTTATAGTATGTTTAATGCCTGCTGGTAGATAGGGCTAATGTTAACCATATATGGAATCTGTAGAGTTGTTAGGATAATTATTGAAAAATAACAAATTTGACCAGACAACAAACTGTTTTAACAACATGGCTTAAAAAAAATTGATTGCATCCCTTAATTATTTTGCTTGGATGCTAGAGTTGTCTGATACTGTTACCAACTGGATCTCCCAAGTCTTGGGGAGCAGGTGACACAGTTTCTGACTGAATTAGCATTTTAGATTCTGGTTTGACTTAGGCATTTCTTTGTTGCTCTAAAGTCAGTCTCTGGAAAGAGACAGGAGATAAGGGAGCTTGCAGAACACATTTTCCAAAATATAAAGGGGGGGATAGTAAATTTGTCCTCTAATCTCTTAATCAGATATTTGGTGAGAATCTTCTCTCTTGTTCGATTTTTGTTTTGGCATACCAATTTTTTTATGGTTTGTACTTTGTTCATAAGTTGTTAGTTGTTATTAGGAAAAATTTAACACTATACATATATAAGGCGCTTTGCTTGCAAAGAAAGGCCCAAGAATCTTTTAAAATAACTGTTTTGGTAAGATGCATAAAATCATATAAGTCAATACTGTGGATTTTATCAGAATAAAGCAAGATAAGTATAACTAATTTCCAGTTAGAGCAAGTAGGAATCTACATCAGTGCAAATGCTTGAAGGAAATATTCCAGGCCCAACAGGCTAGGGGTTGTTAATGAGAATAAAATGACTGTGTTAGAGTCATTATATGATATGTCATTTTTCATAACTCCTTTCCTAATAAATGTAGCATATCTTACCAGAAAAAAATCTCATGTCCATTACCATTTCCTGTTTGAAATGTGACACTCCTTTTTACTATACTAAGTTATCTGATATGTAATTTCCTTTAGTAGACATTACTTATCATTCCAGGAAAGATATTCTAATTGGGCTATATACTAATGCCCAATTATAATTTTGCTAATATATGTTCACCAATTATGTATTTCTTGCATTTTCTTCTGAGGCTGTGATATTTAAAAACTCATGCAGAATACATTAATACATTAATACATTAATACATTTGGACATTAAACCTCTCTAGCCAGAATATGGTAGATTAATACATTTTTGAGTGACTTTTCAGGGTCATACTTTTCATGCAAGACTATAAAATAAGCATAGTCCCTAAGATGCCGTTAGGTAAGCTTATGCTATTTTTAGTATAGTAAATGCCAGTGAGACATGCAATCTCTTTGGTGGAATAAGGAAAATAAAAGTGGTTTCAAATATAAAACAAACTTCAACAGAATTTTGATCCTGAGCTTGAAGTTTACAGTATATTCAAAACAAATCAACTTGTACCTCTTCTATCTTCTTCTGCATGATCTTCCATTGACTTTCCCATTCCTTTCTTTCATTGTCAAACTGGTCCAGTAATTCCATCTTTTCCTTATGCCAGCTAGTTTCTGTGTTCTCCCACTGCTTATGTAGGTCCATGGCAACCGTGTGTCAACGAAGAAGTGTTTCTGCTCGTCTCCGCCTTCTCTTAACTGTTTCTTGGAAGCTTCGAGTTGTTTTATTTGAAGCAGTCTCACTTGCCTTTAAAATAAAGCCTAATATAAACAACAAGAATGAGTTCCAAATTCATATGCTTTTTGGAAACACATTTTATCATTTGATCAAAGGCCCATTGATGTAAACAAACTATAGGAAAATTGGACTCAAAAGAAGAAGTTATAAAAATTTGCTTAAGAGGAAACGAACACAGTCAATAAAGTAATAACTATTGTCCAAAGATTTTTTTTTTCCCTTTTGGGGACCAGACAGCAAAATTATAGTGGACAAGATGGTTAAATGCACATGTAAGATATAAATAGGTCCTTAATTAACTACCTAATCTAAAAATAGAGTATTTTGTGAAAATCTAAGATTTTAAGTATGAAATTCAGCTCTATGATCACATGTACACAACTGTGGCAGATTCTGCTACAACAGAATGACTCTGTTCTGATGCAACCTGGTTATATACTTGTGACTCAGAGTCCTGAGCCAGTGCTGAACTGTAGTCTCTTCTGTATTTAGATCAAGCCATGCCAAATGTGCTCACTGTACCAACTGAGACCTCAAAGTTGGCTGCCGATTTGGGAGACAGAAGTATAAATAAGAAAGCAACTTAAATCATAAAAATATCACTATTTTACCTCATCAAGTATGATCTTAAAGCATCAAAACTATCCTGTGATATGTATGTTAAAACTAATTCAAAATTTCATCTCATAAGCTATATATTATAACCTGTTTAGAAAACTGAATAAAGAGAACTGAAGGGAACCTTTTGCTCAGTTTTCAGAGAATCTTCTAGTCCATAAAGTAGTAACTGAAATAATTAAATTTTTAACATTCAGGATATGTACATTTAGGGTTTGAAGATACAATTTAAAGTACCAGATATGTAACTTTGTTATAAGTCATCTAAAATATCTGAGATTTAGTTTATTAGGATTAAAATGAGGGACATTCACAGAACTGTTATAAATACTGACATATGGAATGCAAGGTAATGTGAAAAACTTTTTAAATTTCCTCAATTATTTTGCCTTAAAATATTGCTTTGATTTCACTTGAAAGTAATCTTATTATTAAACTCATTTTTTATATTTATTTTTTAGTTATAAGTGGACACAATATCTTTATTTTATTTTCATGTGGTGCTGAAGATTGAACCCAGTGCCTCATGCATGCTAGGCAAGTGCTCTACCTCTGAGCCACCACCCCAGCCCTCTAAAAAAGTATGTTTTAAATATATGAATCTGTTTAAAATAATTAAATAATTAAGCCTACAAGAGATTTAGGGCTAGGGGTAGCTCAGTGTAGAATGTGTGTTTAGCACATGGAATCTCTGAATTCAATCCCCAGCACCCATCTCCCTACAGAAATGTAATTCTTCAATTTACCAAGCCATTACCAAAATGCCATAACGTACCAATATCTACTTATGTTAATTATGGACAAAGTTCTCAATAGTCAATAGTCAATATTCAATGAATGCAGGCATTGCAGAATTAAGCCGATGTAACCAAGCACCAGGCACAAGTTTATATTCATAGGAGATATATGCACATTTCATGTCCCAAATATCAACTAAACATCAAAGGCTAATTTTATTTCTGTCAGACTGTTCTGTACATACATATCTGAGTAGTAAATGGTTTTAAATATATACGTGTTTATATATATGCATACACACACACACACACACACACACCGGACTGTAATCTATCAATATATCACAACACACTATGAGGATTAAAAAATGTTACTTCTATATGCAGAGTTCTACCTCCAAAAGCACCCTAATAATACTAATAATATCGGGAGACATATTCTCACTCTTTTCCCAAACTATTTGCTATAGACACTTGGTGAATTTTACCTATTTCTTTGGCACTCACAATATCATGATTAATTTGGTCAAGAAAATAATTTCAAGCTTAGCCAAAAAGATGTCATCATGTCTCATTTTATTCACATAATCATACTCTATCTCTAACTTTATTTTTCATCCCCTCTATCATGTCATCTTTCTTTTGCTACCTTCCATACTTACAAGCCAGTAGGAACAAGTATTTATCCTTAATGTCAATGAACATCTAATAAAATGAAGATAGTAAAGAATTTACAGATTTGTGTTTGTTTAGATTAACTTAACATTCACTGGTCTCCCTTACCTAGTTGACTTTTAGTTTCATCTAGCAACTGTTCACAGGAAATGCAGACAGTGTTTATTTTGAGACTAACAGACTGCTTTAAAACTATATGTAATTAACTCTGAGCTGAAACAGTCTTGCTGACCAGAAGTTACTTGCCACTAGTTCTGCTTAGGAATGATGGAATGATTTGAGATTCTAAGGGAGAGTTGCAAATTTAACCAAAGAAGTTATAAAAAGAAACAGACTAATTATAAGAAAACTGGAAAAAAAGTTGCTATGGCAGTTCAGCTTTATCCCAATTATCTTGAACATGGAAATGTTCAGAAATCATCTTCATAAAGTTTTCCCACAATTTTGCAGCAAACAGTTCTAATTTTTCTTTCCAGTCCTATATTTTCTTGAATAACTTCCAATTAGAGTTAAAAAGGCACCAGGCTTCTCTTTTTTACATATCAGAAGATCACCCTGAGATATTCTAAATCAGCCTTGTTGCTGGTGATAGGGCTGTAATGTGAGGCCAGGTCATGGTCCTGCTGCAGTCTGAATCCTGTGCTTTTCTGGAAAGGGCTAAACTCATCACTTAACATGAAGTGGGGCCAATCTACAGAGCTTCCCCCTTCCAGAGCCAGAACAACATCTAGTGCTAGGAAATCTAACAGTTATGGATCAAAAAGAAGTCTTTGCAAGAACATTTCTATAGATCAGGGTCTGTGCCAATTCTTGTGGGAGGATTTAATTAGCCTTTCTAGCAACTCAGTCTTATAAACATAAATATCATACAGCTGAATATATTGTTTCCACCTCTAAACATAGAGTGGGGGACCATAGAATTACTTTGTGGATTAAGTGAGGAAGAGAGACTTCTTAATAAAATTGCTTAAATGCTACTTTGTACCATAATGAACACACAATAAAATGACTGTTTCCTGGCTTCTCCCTGCTATCCTTTCCCCTCCTCTTGTCTTCCCTCTTTTCCTCCATCTATCCCTCTTTCTTTGTCTATAATTAAACGGGTTATTTTAACCTTTATTTAAATATAAAATTGACAGAAGAAAAACCTAATTTGCTTGTGTGAATGCTAAGATTCTCCATGATTTTCCTTTACCATCAATATTTTTCAAGTATTTTTATAAAGAAACATGTCAAGGGCTGGGGATGTGGCTCAAGTGGTAACGCGCTCGCCTGGCATGCACGGGGCGCTGGGTTCGATCCTCAGCATCAAATAAAAATAAAATAAAGACGTTGTGTCCACTGAAAACTAAAATAAATAAATATTAAAAAATTCTCTCTCTTTTTTAAAAAAAAGAAACTTGTCAAGTTCAATATTTAGAAAAAAATTTTCATTGTTAGTAAAAAACTGAATACAACTATATAAACTGCATTTATTATAATTTTAAATTAAATATTTTAAAGATCCAAAGGGGTAACTTGGTAGGGATAGAATGTTTTGTGATAAGAAGTTATGGGGTAAAGTGGTTCAGCAGATTCAGAAACTCAATTTTAGTGCTTTCCACTGAGGCAAATATAAAAGTTCTCTTTGTTTTCAGTTGTCGCTCTTTTCATCCCACAGATCTTGGCATCTTTGTGGGAGAGAAGGGAGGATTTCTGTGCTGCACCCCCTTTTCCATAACTCTTTGCTCTCCATTTCATTTCACTCCTTCCAGAATTTCATTCAGAATAAAATTTTATTGGAGCAAATTGTAAAAGGACAGAGTGAGCTGCATTACTTAGTCATGCACACGTTCTCCCCCTAACAACTCTAAGCTAGCATTACATAATCTCTTTTAACCTACTTCCCCTCTCCCAGGCTGGAGGCCAGGATTGTAAAGGCTTGTGAGTGGGTTGCGTAAGTGGTGATGGGAGGCAAATGGTTTGGCTAACCTTTCAACCCCACCAGTAAGCACAATTAAAGAAAGAGCAGCAAAGGGGTCTCACAAGATGATTTGCATCCCCCACAGTAGCCTCAAGTAGGGTCATGACAACACTTCTCCATCTGAGAAGTCCTCTATTCTTAACTATAGCAGGGTCATTACCATCTGAACTTCCATCATGCCCACTGAAAACTAGATGTAAGCAAAATAAACTGAACAGTGATAGCGGTTACTCCATTGCTATTTTTCTCTTTCTCCAAAGAGAAGGCTTTTTTTTTTTCCTGTTACTTTTCATATAGTTGAGGGTTTTTCAGTTTTAAAAGGACACATATTTCAATGAAAATGTCATACACAGCTGGTACTGCCAATCTCACAATTCCTAGAAAAAGTCATTTGGCCTGAAGAGGTTTTGCTTCTGATTGACTTTGAGGGGTTAAGAATCCCTATGCTTATATCTATCAGAGTAAAGTACCATTTGCCTCCAAAATTCTGTAGCCCTCTCTCCAGGCTATTGTCAATCATTTGTATCATTTTAACTAATTAATTGATTGCATTTTTCCCCACTATTCATTAGTAAATGCATATATCTAGAGACCACCCTGATTTGATTTTGTTAGAGGGCAAAAAAAATTTTTTTTTTTACCATTTATTGTTATTTCAGCACATTCTTCATGTTCCAACAAGGTCAAAGACAATCACATGCAATTCCAAACAAATTATTTTTGCTTTCTCATTTAATTACCATTTTCTTCCATACTTTCTCTCCAATTATTTACTCATCTAGAAAACATCCAAGTTATAGGCACAGCAGTTTTACTTTTCTTAACTTAGAAGCTTTGATAAAAACTTCTGATGTGGATAAACAAATGTCTAAAATAAATTATCTCAAACAGAAGATATTGTGGTAAAATTTCCTCCTAACATAGGTTAAGCTACTAGGAAAGTCTCAGATTGCGGAAACACATCCTGTAGTACATGCACCATTGTTTTGGATAAAACATTTATTTATTTTTCATTGCAACTTTCAAATAC